CAAATTTATTTCTCATTAAAACAATACTATAAAAATAATGTAAGCACATTACCAGAGAGGTTTCTGCTTTGTATATTATACTGATAAGATTCATGTTTCTATTATATTGTATATGTTTAAAAAATCTGCTGCACTTTATTAGGGAAAAAAATCACTGATATCCAAAAATATTATACTGATTTTTTCCTTTGAAATCCTAGTTTGCAAGTGTTCATTAAATGGGGAAATTTTTTATTATTTTTTTATTATTTTACAGCTTTTAAGACATTTGTGTATAAAATCAACTAAAATGTTAGGGTCACATGAATCATATGCATTAAATTGTTTTCTCTTTGTATATGTATAGTTTTAGCTAAGACTGCAGTCTGCGGATGAATTCTTCTCAGGCAGATGGATCTAAGTTTATTTTGTCCCAGGGATTGAAATGTGAACTGGAACACTTAAAATTTAGTTACTGTAATTGTGTGTACTGCTGAGTGGATTAATGTATTGAACAGCGTGTTGACTTTACTTCCTTTTAGAACTGTAACTATCCAACTTTGTATCGTTGATGAAATGAAAATCATTCTCAAAGTAATATTAATTGAAATGAACAGTTTATATCAAGACTAGAAAGCCCACATTTGCTTCTGGCTATGTATTTTTTTATTTATCCTTTTAAGGGCAAAAGCTTTACAAACATAAATGTTAAATCAGCAAAGTAATATTTTCAGTGTAAATCTGTATATTTCTATGCAAAATTAAGTCCTGTGATCTCAGTGAACCTTCTCAAGTATATAGAAATATATTTCTATGCACTTCTACATATATATGTATAGAATACATGTATAATTGTATGTATAGAAATATATTGTTATATATTTCTATGTATAGAAATACAGGCTTAGAGTGCAATACTAAATGTGTTTCTTTAAAAGACTCTTTATATTCACTTAAGCTTACTGTTGGCTATATAATTATAGAACTGGATCCTTATAGGGCAATCTTCTGCTGATCTTCTCAGACCTAATTCAATTAAGTACAGTGTTTTCTTATTCCCAGCTAGATGTGACAGCTTTAATCTTATATTTTCTATTCTCGCACATTTTCTATTCTCTATTCTTTAACTTTAAGGTCAAAGGTAAAATGCTTTCCTATGCTTTCAATGGGGGAAAAGAACACACAACAATGTTGTATTTGATTCAGTGTGATGCATTCCCTGTTCTTAACAACATATGTTAAAACTATGACCCATATAAAGGATTTAGCAAAATTATAAAAACAAGTCTAAAGACTGTAGAATGAGATGAAGTAAATCCAAAGCAGATAATAAGGGAAGATGATTAATAGGCAGAGCACTGCATATGTTTAGTTGCTGAAAACTGGAATGTAAAAAAAAGCAGCTAAAGAGATCCCACAAAATCTTGGATAATTATTTAATCCAATAAGTAAGTATTCCAAGAAGTGCTATGGACTATTCTACTCAGCCACTGTTTTCTTTAGACAATCTTGCTTGCTACATTCCTTCTCAGACCCTGTTAAGTTGCTAGCCACACTGACTGCACAAGAAGCTTTTGACAGACACAAGTTTCACAAATGAAACCTCATTTTTGTCTAACTATGACCTCTAATTTGAGGTTTATGCTTGCGAGACTTGATCTCAGTTTCAAGGCCCCTTAATCCAGTACTTCTTAACTATTAGTTCCATTGATTCAGCACCTTGTGACTTGAAAGATTAGTTGCTATGATTAAAATACACAATTGTGTACATATTTGTACACAAATATATCTGTCTGTCTATATATCTTACAAGAAATAAAGGGGGAAGACATTTGGGCACTTATTCTGCAAACAAATGAAGAAAACACACACATTTGTGTTGTGATAAATGATTTAATGAATGATAATGTAGAGATGGGTAGGGAGAGATAAATAATACTAATCAGATAAATATTATTTTTCAATGCATATACATCTTTTCAATTTAAAGCAGACTTTACTTATTTTAAATCTGTTTTATCAGAAACAGATAAAAGCTGCATTTGGATAATTTGAGCCCAGTATCCACTCAAGAAAACCTTTGCTTATGCTATTGAGAAAAGTTGAACTCATCTCTAGGCTAGAGATGGCTGTTATTTAAACAAGAAGTTCAAAACCAAGGCCTCTTAAGTGTTGCAAGTAACCTCAAAAAATATGAAGAAGAAACCCTGGTTACTCCTGAGGGTATATAAGGTAATTCTCTCTATGCACTATCAGCGAATTATCAAGTGCAATCACTCTCATTTGCAATGGACACAGTAATCTTGAAATGTGTCCTATTAGACCCCTGCCAAATCAAGACTTAAACTTAGAAGACTTAGAATAACTTTATTGTCACTTTAAATATACACTAATTTGCATACATTAAAATGAAATTTTGTTGTATACAACTCTCAAAAGGCCACCACATCCAATATACACTACATAAACATGACAAAATAAATAAATAAATACAAAATTATGCATATACCCACATATATTACCGTATTTTTTGGATTATTATGATGCACCAGTGTATAAGACACACCAAGATTTTGAAGAGGTAAGTAAGAAAAAAAAGGGTTTTGCCCTCCCCCAGCCCCCAGGAGCACACTGCAGGCCTCCCAAACTCTCTGCGCACCTTGTTTTTGTGAAAAACAGGCCCATTATTTGCAAAAATGGGACAAGCGGGGCAGGGCTTCGGGAGACCAAAATGGCTGTATTTGGTGTATAAGATGCACCAACATTTCCACCCTCTTTTAGGGGGAGAAAAGTGTGTCTTATACTCCGAAAAATATGGTATATGACACAGAGAAACAACACAGTCTAGTTTGGAAGTATACTTGTACACGGTGAGAAAAATGAATCTTGCAAGTTTACCAGATGGATGGCATAGGGAACAAAGCTGTTACAGAATCTGGTAGAAATACTTTGAAACCTCCTCCCAGAGGGGAGCAACAGAAGCTGACTGTAAAGTGGGTGTGTGGGGTCTCTGACAATACTTTAAGCTCTAAGCACATAGCACTTATAAGCAGTATCCTGAATAATGGGAGACAAGCTTCCTATAATCTTCTTGATTGTCCTTACCACTCTCTGTATGGACTTTCTATCTGAGGAACTGCTGCCATCAAACCAAACAGTGATGCACTTTGTTAAAACACTCTCATTCGTGCCTCTGTAAAAAGGGGCCAGGACAGAAGGACACAGATGTGCTCTTCTCATCCAATACAGGAAATGAGATGGGATGAACTAAGCCATGCAGTTTCAGAAGAACTGTGACTCACTACTAGGTCCTAAGCATGAAAGGGGACACAGGTAGACTTTCATTGTTTCTAGCATTCCCACGAAGCACTCTGCTCACCACCATTTATGACAGCTATCCAACCGATGTAAACTACTTGAGAGGATGGGTGGGGAGCAGTTGTATACAAAGGTAATATCCACTACTCTAAAGAATGCTGTATAAGAACATGTGGAATCTAGATTTACACAATTTTACAATTAGTTCAAAATATAAGGAATAAAAATGAGATGTTACAATATAGTCTTTTTCTTACTCTTATAGTCAAGATTATATTGCTTATATAAAGATAAATATATAGAGAAAACATATTTCCACATAAGCTTGTTGCTTTATCTTCTAGATCATTTTCTATTTCTCTATTTCAACCAACATCCAAAACTTAAACAGCCTTTAATTTCAGTTCCAATGATAGTACAAATAGTATAAACAATAGAATTTTGCTGTTAGTATTTATGTGCCAGTTAATATTTGCCTATCTCACTTGATTCTTTTTTTAAAAAGTTAATCTTTCCAAATACTGAAGCAAAACCTTGGGATATTGGCAACTTTCTGTGGCATTCTTCCTCTTCTTTTTTTGAAGGCCAGTCTGATAAGTAGAAGACCATGGGAATAACTGATGCTGTCCAAGGGCAACACTAGATTGTCTATAGTCAGACAGATGTCCTAATAAATCAGGATAGACCACTTTCTCAGACTTCATTATGCCCTTGATTTGTGATCGCCACAATTTAACGTATTGGGTCATTGGATGCTGAACCTGACATTGAACGATAGCCTCCAGTTTACTCTAGCTAGCTAATAAAAGAGACAGACACAAATTTTGAACGTTTAACTCCTTCAGCATTACTCACAGTCCAGGCTGATTTATAGCAACCGAGATGAGAGAGAGACAGAAAGGAGACTAAACGTGATGTCATGCTGCTCATACAGAATGCCTATCATAACACACGTAGCACAGTTTGCAAGAACATGTGGACAAGGAGTTTTCTTCTCTCTCTCATTTCACAGAGCCTGATACATTTTGCTTTCTTCATGTGGCACGGCCATCTGTTCCGGAGCATGAAAATTTATTGCTACTATCTCATTTCCTTGGGGATACTTAGGCTTAGCTCATGTTTCATAACATTTTGCAAAAATAGATGAAGAACTTGCATTCCTGATTTATTTTGCACCTCAGTCTTTAGTTACTATCGCAGAAGATAAAAACCTCTTAACAATCTGTTCAAATCCAACTTTTTAAGGCTTTCAGTATCTTTTTTTTCTTTGCTTTTTATATACTTTATATTAAAATAATATCAACATAGCATTAAAATAGAAAGTTTTAAACCTAGCTTTAGATAATTTTGAGATACGATCTACTTCCACAGTTTGTCTGTATGTCTGTCTCTTTCTTCTATGCTTTGAAAATTTTGATGCTCATTTAGCTGTGTTAGAAATTATTTTCCTTTGTAAGCATGTCAAGCCTAATATTAATTTTATTCAACTTGTGTATAATAATATTCAATAGCAATTTTTAAAAAACCTCTGATACAAAATAATCTACTAAATTGGAGGAAGCTGTTCCTGAATATTTAACAAAATAAATAAAATCATGCAACAACTAACATATGTTCCACAGTTAGTGAAAATTTTGGTGAAACAAGAAATTTAAAAGCTTATTGATCAATCATTAATTTGCATCTATTTTATTACAAACATGTAGCACACCATCAATTCCTGTAATATATTTAGTTCTTGCAAATTAATACAACAGTTTACATTTATTTATCAGAACTGACTATCTACATAGCTGAGAAGAATGGGTGGATTATACTGAACCGACAATCAGAGACAGGCACTAAACCCTACTGATTTAGACTTTAAGAAAGATTAAGTAGAAATCAGTGATGGGAGAGCTACGAAAGAAATTGAAAAAGAAATAAAGGCTTAGCCAGGTGGATAAAACTGTTCTTCGGATCTTTCAGCATTTTCTTCCATACTTTTATATAGCTGATATTAAAATAACATCAATATAGCATTAAAGTATAACATTTTAAACTCAGATTTAGAAAATTTTGAGATATGATACTGCCCTTAAATTAGTTGAGTACTACAAAAAGTGAGATTATGACACAGATTCTGAATAGACAGATTTAGGAAAAAAGGATTTATGTTGAATAATTTTTGAAACTGAATATATGTAACTTGGTTCTCATTAACAAAATGTGTCAAAGTTTCTGTGTGCTTCCTTTGCATTTGATCTTCTTTCTATTTCTTGGCTACATGGGGAGGGTGCTTGATAATAATTTGATGCCATAAAAATGTCCCATCTGTTCTTGTTCCTCAGTATTTTCAAAATGTCCATTTTCATTTTGAGGCTCTGGGAATTCCATCACATTAAGCCTGGAACATCAGCAATTTAGACAGAAATGTTTATTTTGCAAAGAGAGAGTAAACTCTTTTCTACCCCCCTGCAGTTTCATTTACAGACACCAAGCGTCCTCACCTTCTCTATTGCCAATGATTCAAAGTGGCAGGAGAAAAACCAGAAGATTAAAAAGAACACAAGTGAGATATTTTAATCAAGATTTGGGAAGCTGTGACTCTCCAGAAGTTTCTGTGGTTCACAGCTGAAATTGTAGGCAGCTCTAGTGCAGCAATATACAGGGAGACTCTCCAAACTAATTTAAGAGATAGATATACATTTCTAATTCAGCAAATTAGCATTTAAAACCATAAGAGATAGATATATATATAGAGAGAGAAAGAGAGAGAGAGAGTGTGTATGTTCCTTAGGATCTTGATATATACACAGCAATTGCTACTTCCTGTAGGGCAGTAACTGATAATTCCAACTGCCACCACTTTTCTTCTAAGAGAAGCCATATATACAGTCTTTCTGACTGCACAAAGACCAAACAATAAGTTCACTTATGTTCTTTTTTTTATTTTGTTAACATTTTTATGCCATTCAACTTTCAATGGGTCAGAATGACCTACATTGGGGGGGGGGCAGCCAAAATATTAAAAACAACACAAAAATTTTCTGCAGTACAGGTGGTCCTCCGTTTATGCAAAACTGTGCCCAGAATCTTGGTTGTTAAGCAGAATGGTCACTAATGCTCCATGACCACTTTGCTCAACAACCATAATGCTGGGTCTCCCAGTTGCGGTTGTTGAGTGATCACTTAAGTCGTTTAAGTGGAGCACTAGAGAGAGTGTCCAGGCTTCCCAATGGGGAGACCATTAGTGGACTAACAAAGGAAGGAAGGAAGGAAGGAAGGAAGGAAGGAAGGAAGGAAGGAAGGAAGGAAGGAAGGAAGGAGCTTGTCAATTTCACCTACTTTTTTTTTTTTAAGACCCACAAATTCTCTATTATACCAGTAAGATTAAACAGAAAGAAAGCTGGGATTTCAGCTGATGACTTTGTTTCAAGAATAAACTGTTCAGAGGTAGCGGTATCTCCATCCTGCAGGTGGTTTGCCTGTGTAGGTGTTTGCATACAATGAGCAGAGCAGACAATTGTGGACAGCAGAGATTGTGCCAAGACAAATCAGAAAACATGACTTAATGTGTTAAGTCCTCAGCAAGTTTACGTATGGTTTCGCATGTTGCTACCCGTTCCTGATTGGTTGAAGCTTCCGGGGTTACTGAGCGGGAAGCTGCGCGACCTCCGATTGGTCGCTCTGTTTTGACAGCCGGCTATTTAAGCCGCTGTCAGCCAAATTGCGCTGTTCTGTTTTCCTGTTGTTACGAGTTGGTTGTTACTTAATAAAGGATCGTTCTAACACTCTCTAGCCCATGCCTTTGTTCTACGTAAAGAGCACTGGCGACGAGGATGGGATCGGTGGTGTACTTCTGAGGTAAAATTGACTGTGGAAACCTCCGCCACCCCTTTTGAGCTGCCATGTCTACTTTCTTACTGGCGTTCTCCCCTTTTGTCCCTGCCTCTGAGACTTGGGACACCTATATGGAGCGGTTTGAGTGCTTTTTGCAAGCGAACGCTCTGACTGAACTTTCTAGCGCCGGCAAACGGGGTTATTTCCTCAGCTCCTGTGGGAGCGAGATTTTTGCCGCTGCTGGGGCTCTAGCGGCGCCTCAGCAAGTTTTTGATATTCCTTGGGAGACCTTGGTGGAGAGATTAAAGAACCATTTCTCCCCTAGCCCGTCTCTCATCGCGCGGCGCCATGCATTCTGGCAGCGCTCACAGACAGAGGGTGAATCCGTGAACGATTACATGGCTTCCTTGCGTTCAGCAGCTCTCCATTGTGAATTCCGCGACCACTTGGACGAGATGTTGTTAGACCAGCTGGTTTGCGGTATCAAGGACTTAAAGCTACAACGACGCCTTTTGGCTCGCTCTGAGCTGACCCTCCAAGTCGCCCTGGACGAGGCCAGGGCTGCCGAAATGTCCGGTCGCTCAGCTGCTGAAATCCACCGTTACCAGACGCCCTCTCTAGCGAATCCTAAACCCCTGTCTGTACATTACGAGGACTCGGACCAGGGAGAGTCCTCCGACGAGGAACGGGAGGTGAGCCGCCTCAAGGCAACTCAGCGGAAGCGCGGCGGGTCCACCAAACCTTTTAAGTTTGCGCAGGACACCTGTTTGGGCTGCAGCGGCAACCATCGCCGCACCGACTGTCGTTTCAAGACCGTCGTGTGCCGCCGCTGCGGAAAGAGGGGCCATCTATCGAGGGTCTGCAGAGCACCAGCCCCAATGTCCGATGTTACCTCTGGGCCACCCCCAGAGCGCCGCCATGGTTGGAAAGTGCCTGCTCGCCGCGAGGATTGCCTCGCTGTCACCCGCTACGAGGACCCGCCTGACATCGCTGTGAGCAACGTCACTCCTTCAGCCTCTGCCAATAAGCTCTTCCTGACTGTGGGTTTGGAGGGGTCGGCCTGTAAAATGGAGGTGGACACCGGGTCCTCCAAGTCACTCATAGCGTGGGCGACCCTCTCTAATTTGTTGCCGGGGTTGTCCCGCCAACGGCTCAAGCCGTGCCCTGTCCTCTTGAAGGACTACCAAGGAAGGGCTATTCCCACTCTGGGATATGATAATTTCATGGTGTCTTTCCGCTCGTTTTCTGGTAAATTGCCACTAATTGTGGTTAGAGACGCCCGCCCTACCCTCTTAGGACTAGATTGGTTTGCCGCTTTAAATTTGTCCATCTCTGGAGTACATAGGGTAGTCCCAGATGTTCCATCTATTCTGGCCCGTGAGTTCGCTGATGTGTTCTCAGATCAGTTGGGTAAATACATGGGTAGGCCAATATCATTTAATTTGTACCCTCAGGTGATGCCAGTCCGCCTCAAACCGAGGAGAGTGCCTCTAGCTTTGCGCCCGCGCGTTGACGCAGAGCTTGACAAATTAGTGGCTCAGGGCATACTAGTCCCCGTGGATCATTCAGCTTGGGAGACCCCTATAGTAATTCCTTTAAAGCAGGACGGCTCAATTAGAATTTGCGCCGACTATAAGTGTTCCATAAACAGGGCGTTGCAGGCCAACCCGTACCCGGTGCCAGTGGTGCAGCACCTGCTGCACTCCCTGGGTCACGGCAAGGTATTTGCCAAGTTGGACCTGGCCCAGGCTTATCAACAACTACCAGTTGATGAGCCGACGGCCATGGCCCAAACCATTGTCACTCATAGGGGTGCGTTTAAATGCACCCGGCTTCAGTTCGGAGTGAGTGTCGCCCCGGGAATATTCCAAAGCATCATGGAACGATTGCTTCAGGGAATTCCCGGGGTGGTACCCTATTTTGATGATGTCTTGGTCTCCGCTGGAGACCAAGCTGACCTCTTAAATAAGCTTCGGACCGTTTTTGGCCGTCTGCGCAGCGCCAGCCTCCGCCTTAAGAGATCAAAGTGCGCTATAGGAGTTCCCCAAGTGGAATTCTTGGGGTTCCTCATCGATGCCCGGGGAATCCACCCTACCCCCTCCAAGGTCGTGGCTATTAAAAACGCCCCCACGCCCACCTGCAAGGCAGAGCTACAGGCGTTCCTAGGGCTCCTCAATTTTTATTGCATTTTTTTACCTCATAAGGCATCCCTTGCCGAGCCCCTCCACCGTCTCCTAGACGCTAAGTCGCCCTGGGGGTGGAGTCGCGCTGCTGCTACGTCATTCCAAGCTGTCAAAGACGCGCTGATGTCTGAGGCAGTTCTCGTCCAATACGACGAGAGCTTGCCCTTGTCCTTGACTTGCGACGCCTCGCCCTATGGCATTGGTGCCGTTTTGAGTCACGTCTTTCCTACAGGCCTCGAGGCGCCAATCGCCTTCTATTCCCGTACCCTTTCCACTCCGGAAAGGAACTACAGCCAATTGGATCGTGAGGCTCTGGCGGCTGTCGCCGGAGTCAAACGATTCCATAATTATCTTTATGGCCGTTCCTTTACCCTGGTCACCGACCACAAGCCCCTTCTGGGGTTGCTGGCCGGTGATCGGCAAACCCCGGTCATGATTTCGCCCCGCAGGTCCCGCTGGGCGGAGTTTCTGGCCGGGTATTCCTATCACCTGATTTACCGGCCTGGCTCAGCCATCGCACATGCCGATGCTTTGAGCCGGTGCCCGGTGCCCGCCCTGGCCTCTGATCCGGCTCCCACCTCATCAGTCCTCCTCGTTGAGGACTTCGATTTTCCCCTGACCGCTTCAGACATCAGCGCTGGATCCTTGGCGGACCCTGCCATTTCCAAGGTTTTGGATTGGGTCCGCAGGGGATGGCCTAAGGGTCCCGCACCTGCAGATCTCCTCCCCTTTTTCCGACGACAAAATGAGCTGTCCACCCAAAGGGGTTGTCTCCTTTGGGGAAATAGGGTCGTTGTCCCTGAGGGTTTGCGGCGCCCTGTTCTGGCCCACCTACACAACGCTCATCCGGGAATCGTCCGCATGAAGGGGCTGGGCCGCAGCTATGTGTGGTGGCCCGGCATGGATGGTGATATTGAGCAGTGGGTGGCTACGTGCCCCCAATGCCAAGCGTCCAGGCCTGTTTCCCCGGCAGCCCCCTCCAGGGAGTGGGAGGTTCCCCGGGCGCCATGGGCCCGAATCCATATGGATTTCGCTGGCCCCTTCCAGGGTCATACATTCTTGGTCATCGTAGATGCCTACTCTAAATGGGTAGAATTAGCTCTTATGCATTCTACGACGACCGAAGCTGTCATCCGGGTGCTGGAAGGATTGTTCACGACGCATGGTCTACCCGATACCATAGTTAGTGATAATGGACCTCAGTTTACATCGGCACAGTTCCAACGGTTTGTGGCTAAGCTGGGCATTTGCCATACGACGACGGCCCCCTTCCATCCGGCCGCGAATGGACGGGCGGAACGGGCCGTGAGATCGGCTAAAGAGGCGCTTAGCCGCCTGGGCACCACTAATTGGCATCAGAAAATCGCCCAATACTTATTAGCCCAGCGCACAACCCCGTGCCCAGATTCCAAAACGAGCCCGGCTGAAATGCTTATGGGCCGACGACTCCAGACAGTTCTCGACAGATTACACCCTGCCTACACACCTGAAATCACAAAGGGCTTCACGCCCCATTGCTGGGCATTCACGATTGGCGACCCTGTCTATGCACAAAACTTCGGGACTGACAATAAATGGGTGCCGGGCCACATATGCCAATTAACCGGACCCTACTCTTATAGGATCCAGCTCGAAGATGGTCGCATCTGGAGGCGGCACGTGAACCAACTGCGGAGGAGGATGCCTTTAACAACAGACCTTCCCTGTAAGCAGGC